GGGGGGAAGGGGGTGCGGGGAGGCAGGGCTGCCCAGGGGAGATCGGGGGAGGGGCGGCCAGTGGGAAGCAGAGCTGGTTGGTGGCAGCGGGGCTGACTGGGGGAATATTGGGGAGGAAGGGGGGCTGCCGGTGGGAGCGGGGCTGGCCAGGGGAAATCGAGAGGAGAAGAACTGGCCGTCAGGAAGCAGGGCTGGTGGGCAGGCAGGGGGAGAGGAAGCGAATCAGCTGACAGGGAGCTGGACCAAGTAACGCTGGGTAACTCCAGCTAGTCACCAAATACAAGATTTGTAATCTCACTTATGTTTATTGGGGAGGAAGGGGGGCTGCCGGTGGGAGCGGGGCTGGCCAGGGGAAATCGAGAGGAGAAGAACTGGCCGTCAGGAAGCAGGGCTGGTGGGCAGGCAGGGGGAGAGGAAGCGAATCAGCTGACAGGGAGCTGGACCAAGTAACGCTGGGTAACTCCAGCTAGTCACCAAATACAAGATTTGTAATCTCACTTATGTTTGCCTACAAACTAGGTTGAGTTGTCCAGGTTGCCAGAAAGTGTGCAAGGAGTCGGACCTGGATCCTACATTGAACAATATTAAGGTGAATTTTTTACTGACACATGCTGCGTGTTTCTTTTCATCTTCATTCAAGTCTCCAAATATTTTGAGTGTTATTAGTATGGATTGTTTGTACATGTTATCAATACTGATTCTATTGTTGTACACAGTGTTAAGAAATATTAGAAATGGAGTGAAAGACAATTCCTTATGTCCTTTTGTGTCCAACACAATGAGTAATTTAGTTACCAATGACTGTAATGCATGTGTATGTCAGATTTGAGTGAAATAATAAGATCTAATGATTTGTGCACAGCAAAATTGAATCAGAATTATTATCCCTCTGGAATTCAGAAAGAACACTGAAGTGTAAACATAGCATCAGTGTGAAGTATGCTTTCTATCTAGGGGTTTACTTAGACTATTAAATAAAGGTAATCAGCAGTATGACTCCCACCGCTTCGGTTGTAGGTCTACCAGCCTTTTGATAGGATTTGATAGGGCCATTACCAGAAACTAAGGAAGGCTACAAGTACATCCTGACAACCACGGACTATGTAACACAATGGGTGTAAGCAGTCCCAGTTCACGATAAGTCGGCATATACGATGGCTTAAGCAATATACCTATATGCAGGGCTCGACAAATTAGTCAATCTACCTGCCTGGGGCAAGTAGATTTTAAGCTGGCACGGTGCCACAGCGTGCCAAACCGCACGGATGGCGAGCAGGGCTTGCCGCCGCTTGTCAAGCCCTATCAATATGTACTGCTTTTTGGAAATCCAGACTGCATACTGACCAGAATTGAATAATGAGGTAAATATTTGTTGTATGTTAATGCTTAGTTGGTCATCAATCCCACAGTCAAATCACTGGTAGTCCACTTCAAATTCGTTCTAATTCTGAGTTTTTATTCACAGTCATTGTGGATGAAAAGTCACTGATCTTAAACGGACCCTTACAGGGGAAGTAGGTCAGGGTCGGCCTGTTGGAGGCAAGGCGCTACCCCGAGCCCTATCACAGCCTCTTATGCCTTGTTTCTGCCCCACTCAGGAGAAAGATGCACATACAGCACCTCATGGAGGGCATACACTTATTTGCCAGTCATACTGTAGCCACAGTATGACTCTACCAGAATTTCCGGAAGCAGTTGTCAGGTCCATGGGGGCAGTTTTCAAAGGCAGTGCCCTCCCCTGCTCAGATACACCCTGTCCATAGATATTTGACAAGGAAAAATATCATCTGGGTTGCTAAAATATTAGATTCCTTGGTTTATTTTTCTCAACCAAACCTGTGCAAAGGAAAGGGTGTGGTATATCTTTTTGTTCTTTCAGCTGAATCTGGAAATTTGCAAATTAATGAAAGTAGAATGTAGTTTCACCAGCCCATACCAACCGCAAACCAATGGACTTGCCGAAAACACAAACAAATCCCTGAAAAGGTAATTTCTCAAGTTGATAATTCATAACATTGCTAACAAATAAAAGACATCTTGAATTAATCTACAAGAAGTGGTCTATGCCCCTCACTAACTCATGGTAACATCAAAGTTTTTTCTTACTTTTTATGGTGCTGCTGTAATAAAACTTGTTTTTTTAATTTTTTAGATGTTAGTTCATTGAAAATCCACTTCTGTTATTTCTAGAGCAAGTAACTGTACCAATGTACTTGGATTTCCTCTTTACACCTTTCAGATTGCATAATATGGTTTTCAGTGAACACACTTTAGCACTCCCCAAACCAACTCTAATTAATTTTTACAGAGCATTATGGAAGTTGGTAAATGATACTCAGAATAACTGGAATGAGTTTCTTCCTGAAATTACATATTCAATGAGAGCCAAACCAAATATGGCAACCAAGATGTTTTCTCTGTTCATATTTTGAGATTGTACATACTCAATATGTCATGACACAAGATTGCAATATAGCTGAGTACCACTGAGCTGTTGGTGGGTGTACGGGATCTTTAATAACAGGACTGTATTAAAATTAAAATGAAACTAAGATCTCATTTTTCAAAATGGGAGCAGAGCAGCAGGGAATCTAAAATTACACAGTGAAGACTAATTCTATCATCAATCAACTTGCAGTCAGCACTGGGATATTAAGAGAAATGACACTATGATTTGGTCATTGGTGTTCGTGACAAATGAGAATTGAAAAAATCTGAGTGATATGTTTACCAAAATAATTATAAGGTTGTTTAAATTTTCAAATTGAAAATAACATCTGGATGGATGCATGTTCACTTACCGATAGCACTAATGGAAACCCGTGAGTTGGTAATAATCAACCCAATTGGTAATGAAATCCGTTATGAGACACACCTCCTGAGGAACTGGAGGTGATTTTTTTTTTTTAAACACTAACTTTGATTGTTGACATCTATAGTGTTACTGTGCAGGTATTTTTAGTAACAAGTCCGAATGAGGAATAGTATGCTATAAAATGGAGAATGAGGGTATGTGTACACTGCTATTGTGGGGCACCAGAAAATCCAGGAATAGCTATCTTGCATCTTCCAGAAATCCCGTTATTTTGGGGTCGCTATTATGACCTTTATGTAATCCTAACGCTACGAGGACTAATAGACATTTCTGATTATTGATTTATCTAGCAACTTGTAGTTGTGTAGACAATGCAAAATGATGAGAGAAGCTATTTCAGAATAGAATTTTAAATAAGACACACAATTTTCATTGCTCAAATTGAATATCTAATTGCAAGTTAAGGTGCAGTGTAGACATAACCCAAGAGTTGGTTTTGACTACTTTCCTGTTTCTGGATCCCAGAAAGATCAGAAATAGCAACACTGTGCTGTAAAGGATAACGCTATTTCCTGAATTAGCAAGTGCACTCTTCAGGCTACCCTTAAGCAAGGGTTAAGGGATGTGCTGGAATATTGCCTTATTTTGAAATGTAACCTGTATATAGAGCAACACATTTAAAAATAAGCTCTTTCAAATTAGACTCTGACTAAGGTACTGCACATCCCTCAAATTGCAGATCTTTCCTCTTCCAACAAAGTGAAAAGACAACAACAATGGGAAATTGGCAAATCAAAATATTAGAACACAACAGACAAACAGATGTGTTCAATTATGGGCCACTAATCCTGAAGGTATTAAGTGTAAAATTTCAACTTTCTTTATGAAGTTCGTAATAATCCTAAGTTACTTTTTTAGAATTGGAAGTATAATTAGTTCTAATTGGAAGTATAATTAGTTTGCAGAAACATATTTGTAGTGGGAAGACATCAGCAGTGTGCAGACAACACAAAAAGTGTTATTTGCAATAAGAAGAAAAATTGCAATTTTGTTAATGAAAGAGTCAGGTAAGAGTAACTTTCTCTCACTCTTTGTGGTCCTTGAGAATATTGTAGTTGCATTGGTTCACAGAAAATAATTCTGCATTAATTATGTCTGGAAGTACTGTTAAAAAGGTTGGATTGAATGGTTGCCATAGACACGGTAGTGAAATGTCTTTGGATAACATTACAGACAACATCATTAAATCAAACGGGCAGAAACGTAGTCTGGGGATGAGAAATGAAATGCGAGCCATAAGCCACACATGCCCAAAATTAAAGTTTAAAAAAAAAAAAGTTAAATTTTTAAAAAGAATTGAAGCTACATAATCAAGCATGATTTCTATTTACAGTTTACAAAGTAATCATAGTTTGTACACCCTTTGTTTTCATCACAGAAAGTGTATTGCTTGTATTGCAATTCTGGGATTGTAAAGGAAAAAAAGTTCAGATGGAAGAATGGTAAGAAACAGAGAATGGGATGTGTAATTAAGCCATGCAAATCCACGGATATCAATTTGAATCTGTGGGTAATCACATCTGCGGATGTTAAGATATGTGGTTCATTCTTGTATTAAAATTACTAGACTGATAGAGCAGTAGAACAGGAAGGGAGCTCAAAAGGTCATGAAGTCCAGTCCCCTGACCTCACAGAATGACCAGGCACCATTTAGATTAGAGGGAAACTTCAGAACTTCCTTTCATGCTTAAATTTGACACTTTACCAATGTGCCTTAACAAAGATGCTAATTACCTTAACCATTACAAAGATAGCTTCCCACTTATCACCCCATATTAGCCATTCATTGACTCAAATAGCTATTCCCCTCCCCTTCACCCCACCTTCTGTACTAAATCTGATTTGTCAGTTTAATAATGTGTTCACTTTTTTCATTGTATTCCTTTGGTATATATGGTCATGCCAATTCTCTTCCAGAAGATGATCTGAAGAAATGGGTCTGGCCCATGAAAGCTCATCACCTATTAAACCATCTTGTTAGTGTGCTACATTGTCCTGCATTTTGCTTCAACTACCCCAGACTAACACGGCTACATTTCTATCGTAGTTGCATTGGTTCACAGAAAATAATTCTGCATTAATTATGTCTGGAAGTACTGTTAAAAAGGTTGGATTGAATGGTTGCCATAGACACGGTAGTGAAATGTCTTTGGATAACATTACAGACAACATCATTAAATCAAACGGGCAGAAACGTAGTCTGGGGATGAGAAATGAAATGCGAGCCATAAGCCACACATGCCCAAAATTAAAGTTTAAAAAAAAAAAAGTTAAATTTTTAAAAAGAATTGAAGCTACATAATCAAGCATGATTTCTATTTACAGTTTACAAAGTAATCATAGTTTGTACACCCTTTGTTTTCATCACAGAAAGTGTATTGCTTGTATTGCAATTCTGGGATTGTAAAGGAAAAAAAGTTCAGATGGAAGAATGGTAAGAAACAGAGAATGGGATGTGTAATTAAGCCATGCAAATCCACGGATATCAATTTGAATCTGTGGGTAATCACATCTGCGGATGTTAAGATATGTGGTTCATTCTTGTATTAAAATTACTAGACTGATAGAGCAGTAGAACAGGAAGGGAGCTCAAAAGGTCATGAAGTCCAGTCCCCTGACCTCACAGAATGACCAGGCACCATTTAGATTAGAGGGAAACTTCAGAACTTCCTTTCATGCTTAAATTTGACACTTTACCAATGCGCCTTAACAAAGATGCTAATTACCTTAACCATTACAAAGATAGCTTCCCACTTATCACCCCATATTAGCCATTCATTGACTCAAATAGCTATTCCCCTCCCCTTCACCCCACCTTCTGTACTAAATCTGATTTGTCAGTTTAATAATGTGTTCACTTTTTTCATTGTATTCCTTTGGTATATATGGTCATGCCAATTCTCTTCCAGAAGATGATCTGAAGAAATGGGTCTGGCCCACGAAAGCTCATCACCTATTAAACCATCTTGTTAGTCTTTAAAATGCTACATAGTCTGATCTTGCTAAAATAAAAGGAAAAACTAACACGGCTACCTCTATTACTAGTGTACATAACCTGTTGTTAAACATCTGCAGTCATGGTGTGGATAAATCTCTAAAATTTCCATATAACCATGTATTATTCTCATATAACTTTGTATTAAGGGAAACTTTGTAAATCCTTATAGATTATCTATCTATCTATCTATCTAGATAGATAGATAGATACACAGGGCTTGACAAACAGCGGTGAAAGCAGCTTGCCAGCCCCACACTGCGCATGTGTAAGAGCCACATTGCGCATGCACGTGCCGCCGGTAAATGGAGCGCGTGGCTGAAATCTACTCACCTATGGCGAGTAGATTCTATAGTTTGTCGAGCCCTGTGTGTGTGTGTGTGTGTGTGTGTGTGTGTGTGTGTGTGTATATATATATATAAATAAAATAGATCTTGTCCTTTTAGATATAGCTTTGTTAAGCCTTCTTATAGAATCCCTTGTATTAAGAGAAACCTTGTATCCTGTCTTTTCCATAGAAACTTTGTATCAAGCGCTTTATGTTATAGATCTTAGGAATAGTTCCGGTAAAGAAAAATGTCTTTTGCTAGTAGAATAGATCTCTCCCCTTACATTGATTGTCCCATTGAAATGAATGAGGTGTGAATGGAGAATGAAAGGTGAGCACCTCCAGCAGCAGTTGCAAGGGTAGAGAGGTGCTGGGAGCCAGATCCAAGATAATACCTGTAAAGTGAGCTCATTGAAAAGAAGATTGAACATACAGATGGCCTTGGGAGTCAAAGCAGCAAGTGCCTGCCCTTGAAAGAACTCTCTTTGAAGCAGTGCTAAAAAAGGCGAGGTGTTGACTTACTGGCTGAATGAGACGCATAAATATGAGGCATCTTGCAGAGGGACCCCGGGTTTTCATCTTGTCAGCATTGGAGCATTGATCCGGATTGGCAGAAGCACGGCTCCACCCTTTCCCCCATCTAACTCACCTGGCCAGTGTAATTAATTGGGAGCAATTATTGGTGACAAGACGGAGTGTGCTTGTGTGTATGAGTATAATGTATCATATGCATATGATAAAGTATTGATTGATCTATGTATGTTCAATAAATGTGGTGTGTTGCCTTATCCCCCTGAAAAAGATCCTGGGTGCTTCTTTTAAGCATAACAATGGTGATGACACAATCTCTAAGGAATGTATTTCAATGCTAAAGTACTATGATGATTGTAAAATTCCCAGTAGCAAGTATTTCCAATAATGGTCATAATCATCTTCTGCGGGAATTATCTGCTGAAGGAATATTACTTCAAAATGTTTATCTGTGAAAATTATCTGTGTAAATGTGACTTTCTGATTTAATTTTCTCAAATATTCTCCATGGTGCAGGGTGATGCCTGAGACAGATGGGCACATGTGCCATGCACTCCAGAGGGAATGACAGAAGAACTGAGGGATGACAAACAGTACATATGCAACAAGTGTGCTTAGTGATGCTTTTTAACTGAAATCTAACATTTTACACTGTGTGTGTGAAAAGATTTCTGCTAGGAAGCCTTCAGATGATAGACATGACAGCTGTAGAAGTGTAATCTTGCTAGATAATTCTATACAGGAAAAATAGGGGTAAACTGAGGCAGTCCATGGTATCCTGCTAAGAACCCCTATTAAAATCCTAACTTTGAGGCCTGGGAACACACAGAGCAAGCAGCTAACATGACTCTGGTCACCCTGGCAAGCACATTCCAAGAGGGCCTCACTCCAGTAAGACCCTAGTTGGTACTAAAACAAACTTCACAGAAGTAGATCTCACTGTCTCCTTTAATCCTAGATAATAAACCTGAGCCCCAAGAACTACACCAATGCAAGGCGGCATCATCCTCATAATTTCAACAAAGTTGCCATTCAAATGCTTGTTTTGTTTGTCTTATTTAGCTTGTTAGGAATAACTACCTGTATTATTGATGTTTAATTGGCAATGGGTGGAGATTCTGTGTAATCTTAGTTTATTGGCTTATGTGCTCATTATATCTTGCCGCTAAACCCTATCAAGTTGCTTCTACTCCGCCCATCTGTTGCCTATATAATCTATGGTAATGTTTTGATTAACTAGTGTTCACCAGGTTAACCACTGAGGGACACTCCACCAGCTGTGGAGACGGTCCCCAGCAGACCAGAGGCACTGGGAGCAAAGCGACTTTTGCCCGAACGGGAGCAGAATAGTATTTCTGCAAGAAGCACTGATTTCTCACAGTAGGAAGTCAGTGCTTTTGCGGAAATTCAAGCAGCCAGTGTAGACAGCTGGCAAGTTTTTCCAGAAAAGCAGCTTAAATAAAATAGATCTTGTCCTTTTAGATATAGCTTTGTTAAGCCTTCTTATAGAATCCCTTGTATTAAGAGAAACCTTGTATCCTGTCTTTTCCATAGAAACTTTGTATCAAGCGCTTTGTTATAGATCTTAGGAATAGTTCCGGTAAAGAAAAATGTCTTTTGCTAGTAGAATAGATCTCTCCCCTTACATTGATTGTCCCATTGAAATGAATGAGGTGTGAATGGAGAATGAAAGGTGAGCACCTCCAGCAGCAGTTGCAAGGGTAGAGAGGTGCTGGGAGCCAGATCCAAGATAATACCTGTAAAGTGAGCTCATTGAAAAGAAGATTGAACATACAGATGGCCTTGGGAGTCAAAGCAGCAAGTGCCTGCCCTTGAAAGAACTCTCTTTGAAGCAGTGCTAAAAAAGGCGAGGTGTTGACTTACTGGCTGAATGAGACGCATAAATATGAGGCATCTTGCAGAGGGACCCCGGGTTTTCATCTTGTCAGCATTGGAGCATTGATCCGGATTGGCAGAAGCACGGCTCCACCCTTTCCCCCCATCTAACTCACCTGGCCAGTGTAATTAATTGGGAGCAATTATTGGTGACAAGACGGAGTGTGCTTGTGTGTATGAGTATAATGTATCATATGCATATGATAAAGTATTGATTGATCTATGTATGTTCAATAAATGTGGTGTGTTGCCTTATCCCCCTGAAAAAGATCCTGGGTGCTTCTTTTAAGCATAACAATGGTGATGACACAATCTCTAAGGAATGTATTTCAATGCTAAAGTACTATGATGATTGTAAAATTCCCAGTAGCAAGTATTTCCAATAATGGTCATAATCATCTTCTGCGGGAATTATCTGCTGAAGGAATATTACTTCAAAATGTTTATCTGTGAAAATTATCTGTGTAAATGTGACTTTCTGATTTAATTTTCTCAAATATTCTCCATGGTGCAGGGTGATGCCTGAGACAGATGGGCACATGTGCCATGCACTCCAGAGGGAATGACAGAAGAACTGAGGGATGACAAACAGTACATATGCAACAAGTGTGCTTAGTGATGCTTTTTAACTGAAATCTAACATTTTACACTGTGTGTGTGAAAAGATTTCTGCTAGGAAGCCTTCAGATGATAGACATGACAGCTGTAGAAGTGTAATCTTGCTAGATAATTCTATACAGGAAAAATAGGGGTAAACTGAGGCAGTCCATGGTATCCTGCTAAGAACCCCTATTAAAATCCTAACTTTGAGGCCTGGGAACACACAGAGCAAGCAGCTAACATGACTCTGGTCACCCTGGCAAGCACATTCCAAGAGGGCCTCACTCCAGTAAGACCCTAGTTGGTACTAAAACAAACTTCACAGAAGTAGATCTCACTGTCTCCTTTAATCCTAGATAATAAACCTGAGCCCCAAGAACTACACCAATGCAAGGCGGCATCATCCTCATAATTTCAACAAAGTTGCCATTCAAATGCTTGTTTTGTTTGTTGTCTTATTTAGCTTGTTAGGAATAACTACCTGTATTATTGATGTTTAATTGGCAATGGGTGGAGATTCTGTGTAATCTTAGTTTATTGGCTTATGTGCTCATTATATCTTGCCGCTAAACCCTATCAAGTTGCTTCTACTCCGCCCATCTGTTGCCTATATAATCTATGGTAATGTTTTGATTAACTAGTGTTCACCAGGTTAACCACTGAGGGACACTCCACCAGCTGTGGAGACGGTCCCCAGCAGACCAGAGGCACTGGGAGCAAAGCGACTTTTGCCCGAACGGGAGCAGAATAGTATTTCTGCAAGAAGCACTGATTTCTCACAGTAGGAAGTCAGTGCTTTTGCGGAAATTCAAGCAGCCAGTGTAGACAGCTGGCAAGTTTTTCCAGAAAAGCAGCTGATTTTCTGGAAAAACTGGCCAGTCTAGACACAGCCTAAGACTGCACCAGGTCTAGCAAATTCTTGTAGTTCAGCTCAACAATGACATTTGCTTTTTTGCAGGACTCCTACATTGTTTTTAGATCAGTATTTCCTAACTTGTGTTCCATGGAACCCTGGGGTTCCGCAAAGTGAAAATAAGGGTTCCTTGAGAAATTTACATTTCAGTAAACTTTTATAATTAAATTATAATGTGGTTTTTGTTTGACTGTGCAATTAAACTAAATGTTGATCTCATGACGTTTAGCATTTGTGTATTATCCTTACTTATTTGTGTTCTACTTTTTCAGCTCCAGATTAGCCTTATTAAGGCTTCCACAAAACCAAAATTTTTTTTTGAGTTTAAAAGGGTTTTGTTGTCAAATAAAATGGGGAAATATTGTTTTTTAGATCACTGAGGACAGCCAGAGTTGTCTCTTGACCTACCTCCAGTATTAAAAACTGCCCCTGGCCTTACCTACTGTCCACATGAGTCACACTATGTAACTGTTGCCTTTAAGAAAGTGATCCTTCCCGTAGGAGTTGTAAGTTTGGGAATCAGAAACTGCCTGGAGTAGCACAATGCTACAGGGCGCTGTTCTCAACATAAATGTATAGAACTGCAACATGTAAGATTGTGCTGCTGCTGGCAGCAGTTTCTACAGGAGCACTCCCTTACAATGCTGTAGCACATTCCTATAAGGTAGGAGGTTTCCACGTTACACTGGCCATGCACCTTTAATTACTAAGCACCTGGCCAAAGCCAGCAGCAGCCCTTGGACAATGGGGCGGTTCCCGTTCCGCACGCGCCAACCTCTGCTGTGGAAGAGGCAGGACCAGGCTTCGCTGTAGCTACCGCGCCTGGAGCACTCAACTTCAGCCACGCGCCAGCTGCTACTCACGTGACGCTCCGCCCGGCCCCCGCCCTTTCGTTTCGCCCTTGCGCTTGACCCTACGGGGCTGCCGCC